TGAGTCAACCCTGAGCCGGTGAGATTTGAACCGCTGACCTGCTGATCTAGCAGTAGCCTGCAGTGCTGCTTTTAACCACTGCGCCACCTTGGCCAACCACAATTGGCTCAAGAGTGCTATAGTTAGCATGTTGTGCAAATCCAGTCTATATGGTTAAATTTAGTGCAAATGCAGAAAATTTGCAGTTCAGTCATCCTTAGGTTAAGAGTGTTGTGCAAAACAGAACCAGGATTTCTCTTTCTTCTGTGAAGGTGGAACACAGGAAAATCAAGCATGCAACAAAGTTCTCACCTTACAGAGAGGCATGAGATGACCTCATTGCCACAGGGACGAGTGAGCAGGGGCAAGAAACTATGTCCATCCCACTTGGTGATGTAGCAGGGAAGCGGACGTCGTTCACGCTTGTATGGGATTTGAACAGTGTACAGCCGCAATGCCTTGGCTTGGTCTTCAACTGCACCAAACCTGTGGGAGAAGGAAGAAACATCTGAATAGAAAGTACACGTGTATGGTCCAGACCAAAAGTCTATGTATTCCCCTTACTTGCAAGACTGGTAGCGGTAGGTCTTGTCTGGAATGCCTGGAAGATTTTCATTCCAACGCAGACCCGTCACCATCTGATCTCGTTGCCACACACAACACTGGAAGTCCCGTCCCACTGTCACCACCTGGAGAGATGCAATATGAGCAGCCATGGTCCCCCAACCACCATTACTATCTCTTGCCCATAAAAACAATGCCAGCCAGTCTTTACCCAGACAAAGATAAAAGAGTTTCAACTATTCCACTGTGCTTCATCAACCTTTTAGCATATGAGTGAGCATTATAGTCAAACTGTTCTCCGTCTTATGAATCTTTAATGGATGCTCTGTGTTCTCACATATTTATTTGTCTCTGAACATTTTCCTCCCTTTTATCTTTCCTGGGAACTATCAAAGCTAGCAGCAACCAAAAATCTGATACTGGACTGGTCCCTGTTGGATTTAAAATCTCTTCCCAGTTTTCAATGTTATGCACATTTCATACACAGCAGAAAGGAGTTTTTGATAGGTCAGACAATCCCTGCTTTTAAAAAGCTATTTCTTTTGATTTCAGAAACAGTTCTGTGCAATGGAACGCATGCTCCAATATGGAAATATTGCATTTTCTTGCTTTCTGTGCCTTTTATTCTGTCTCTTTTCTCTATTAGCCTTTCCTTACACCAGAAAGTAGCTGAAAATGCTATGGACTGTTAGAGGCAGCTACATAATTCAATGGTCCTCTACTCCAAGGCTATTCAACTTATCTAGATGAAGAATGACACATAATTCCTTCACACTCTCTTTCACATTACTCTTTTGAACAAAGGCTATTTATCTATAACACCAACCATTATTTGTTTGACCAAGGTTAACTGAATAATCTATAATTGCCTAGATTCACGTCAGCATGAAAACTGTCTGGGTGTCTTTGGGAAAACTGGAGAAAGAAGATTTTCTGAGGGGTTTTTCCCCCTTTGGATGTAGGGGGAGTACTGCCATATACTACCCTCTTGTGGCAATCTTTTTGCTAATTATCCTATTATTCCACTACCACTACTAAAGCTCTTAGGATTTAGAAATCCTTTCAGGCTTGAAGGTAATGGCAAAATGTGGGGAAGGGTCAGGATAGCAAAGAAATAAATTAGTTTTTATTAAATACCTTTAAAAAGAAATGGATTTTTAAAAACTATTATTTGTGCAAATTATCTAATTCCTGATAATGTCTACCACTACACTATCTCTCCAGAAACTATTTCTATCCCTGTCTCCTTGGGCCATCTTCAATTCTGCTCTATCACTTGCTCTTCCCAAACCCTTCTCTCTTGTTCCCTCATCCTGCTGGAATATAATCTGGGAAGATTGTGCAATGTTGCCTTCTCCGTTGGCACCTGAGATCACTTCCTTTAATAAGCAGTAGAAACAAATAAATCCCAATCTTCTCACCTTGTTATCAGGACCCAGTGCTATATCCTCTATCTCACCATTGTGTGCCTGGAATTCAAGAGTTTTTTTCATGCTGGGAAACTGTAAGAGAGAAGAGATTTACCATCACCTCCATGTCCACACTCCTAATATACGAAAGAAGTGCTTTGCAACCCAAGTCTTTCTCTCCCTCTCTTCACTATTGTAGCTCCAGACCAAAACCTTGCTCTCCAACACACAACAGGCCATTTCTTCATTTCCCCATATAGGTGTACCTCCCAGACTCGCAGGAAACCATCCACGCCACCAGTAGCCATAAGAGTATGATCATCACTGAAGCACACAGCTTTCTGCAGAGTATCTGGGCTGGTGTCTGTTTGGACACAGTGCAAAGTTTCCACTGCCACCTCCGTCATCTCCCTGTGTGTATTGCCATTGCTTTTCTCATTGGGGACAGGGGCCTTGCGCCTCCGTAGATCCTTATCACCAGCACCTAAAGGCATAATGGCACATAAGGAAATATTCCATAAACCTCTCTTGACCGGCGGCTCCCAACTTTCCTCTCTTCTGCATATCTTGTCTGTTTTCAGCATCAGCAAGATTTGTAAGTATTACTGTTTCCACTTTTACATTAGTTTTTAGACAGCTATTGTTCTGGGCCTTAATATATTAGGAATTCAATTCTGTAGCTAAATAAATGTTAGGTTCTCACCTGTTTTAGCACTATCGCCGCTGCTGCCGCCTGTTTTCTGCCCAGATTTAAAGAGCTGGAAACGCAGGATGTGGCAAGTAGCATCCTGCCCTGCAGCAATAAAATTTCCTGCCAGCGCCATAGTCATGGTGGCCCGGGTCTCTGTGTCATGGGCATGTAGCAGCGATGCAGATAACTTGCCATCTCTCCAGTCCAGCTGCAAGAAATGCTTGGGGAACAAAATAGGGAAAGGAAGGATGATGCACAACTACCCCTTCTTCCTTATCTACCCAAGGGCAAATCTTGCCAGGGATGACAAGATTTGTCCTGCCTTACCATTGTACCAAAGAGTGGGTACACAGAGGGCACAACTCCCCCCCTTTCTTCAAGCATGGTTTTGTGCTTGCCTGAAAGGACAACCATAGTTTCTGCATAGACACTGCAAGGACGCTATAGTTCCTGCATAGCCCACCAAGAGGAGTGGTCCTTTTCATGTTTTCCTTTGGAGTCTATCTAATGCTCCCTGTATCCCAGACCAAGGAGGCAAGCTTCACTTTCCTGGGTTCATGATTTTCTTCATGCACTGTTTACACTGTGCACTTCAAAAAGCAGCTTCGTCCAATGCTGCACAAACCTTGTTCTGACAGTTGCAGCAAACACCCCCGCTCCCCATTCCCCTAACCGGGTGATGTAAGGGCAGGAGGGGAGCTCCCGGCCAACGCACAGAAGGCGAATCCGAGGGCAGGAGGAGGGCTCTGCCCTACTCCCATAGTCTCCATACCAAGCCATTCGTGATCCCCGTCTTGGCGGCGCCGCCTCCCCCCGCGATCAGCGCCAGTCCAGCTTCACGGTGTATGCGGAGGGCATAGAGCGGGAACGGAGCCCGGTAGAGCTCGGGCGGCCGACGAGGGGGCATGGCTGGATGAACGAAGCCGGGAGTCAGCGGGGTCAAAGGTCAACTCATGCCAATTCCGCACTAAGCTGTTCTTTCCTCGGCTCCCCTCCTCTCTTAGCGTAGCTCACGGTACAACAGCGCTTTGATCTCGACTAGGCATGCGCAGATCCGACCTCCTTGACGTGGCGCAGGCGCACAATTCTCAGCACACGTCGGCACAAGAAGGACCGGCCGGCGAGAAAGCCTTCGGTTGCGTTAAGAGGCAAAAGAAACATCCACGTCGCCGCCGCTTGGCGTCTGTAGTTAGGGCGGAAGCCGGGCAAATCACGCAGTGTTTAAGAGGCGGAAACATGTTAGTGAGCTGTGCTCCATTTTCTCCCTTGAGAGGCTTCCGACGTCTTAAAGCGACGGGGCGATTGCTGGGAATTACCGCCGTGCTAATTTCTGCGCGTGCGCATCATGCATTTTGTAAGTTCCTCACTGTAGTAGGAAGCGTTCCCATGAGTGGAATTAGAAGCATGTTTCCTTTTGTATGGCCGTAGGTTTATATAATGAAACTTGGAACATATTCCGCAGCATTTCCATGTAATCTTTCCTTAGTCCTCTTTCTGAAGACTATATACTTCGAGATTTCTTGTTTTTGGACCTGTCTACGTGGCTCAGTGGCTAAGACAGTAGATCAGAACGGTTGACAGTTCAGCGGTTCGAATCCCTAGTATAGATCTGCGTGAGCAGGGGGTTGGACTAGATGACCTCGAAGGTCCCTTTCAAATCTGTTACTGTTACCTTTGAATGATGTAGCTATTGTAATTTTTTAAAAAAATCAATTTAAATCACAACCCAAGAGATGGAAGGAGCCAAGGAGATAATACCATCCTAAGAGCCCCAAAACACCTTCACTCCCCAGCTCCAAAACCCTTATTGGAGTCAGGATCACCAATAGCTTCCAAGGTATCACTAGGGCCCCAAGTACAGCTGGACTAAGAGGACCATTTTTAAAAACGTGTACATTTGATTTATATTCTGACTTTCTTCTCAAGAGCTCAAGGTGGGATCCATAGCAGAGTTGTCTTTTTCACAACCATTTTGTGAGATGAAACTAAAAATGAATGAATGATCTAATTCTAAAGTGACCTAGTTAGTTTCCATGGTTGAGAATGGACTCAAACCTGAACTCCCTGGTCCTACTCCAATAACATGAGTCACCAAATGAGACATATTGTTTTTTACGTGAGGCTTAACTTGCTATCTTTTTTCTCACTTGCCAGATGAGAAACGAAAGGGGAAAAATGTATTTAATCAAAGGGCCATGCAAATAAATTGATTCTGGATTTATCATTGTGGGATGGTAGCAAATATACTCATTCCCAAATTTCTGAGAAGAAATTACCAATTTTTGATCTTTATTTGTTAAAAAGATAAAAGTATCTGTCATGTCCAACTCTAGGGTGTGGTGCTCATCTGTTTTTTGGCTGAAGGAACCAGCATTGTCTCAAGATATTTTCCATGATCGTGTGGCCAGCATAGCTATACATTAAAGATATACAGAACACCATTATTTGTATCATCTTTATTATTTTTTTACAAATAACTGAAGGCAGCAAACATTCCACTTCCTAATTTCCTCACAACACCCTTGTGGCGTGGCGTGACGTGAGACAGTGTGACGGCCCCAAAGTCACCCAGCTGGCTTTTATGGCTGTCAGAACTTGAACTCATGGTCTCCTGTTTTGTAGTCTGTATCTTAACCACTAAACCAAACTGGCAAACCAAATAAATTAGTTTTGGCCCATAGCCATCTGTCCCTTCCCAAAGCAGCTGCCTTCCAAAGCACATGATGGTATTGGATTGTTGGGATCCTGTTTCTGCCCTACAATTAGTTTATCTTTTGCAGAAATAGCCCACGAGGGGTCCAGTCTTTTTTAGAGATCTTTTCTTAAAAACTACATGGTATCGGACCTGGGTACTTGAGAGACCGCCTCCTGCCAATTACCTCCCTACGACCGATTAGATCCCACAGATTAGGCCGCCTCCGAATTCCATCCGCCAGCCAATGCCGACTGGCAAATCCCCGGGGGAGGGCCTTCTCTGTGGCTGCTCCGGCCCTCTGGAACGATCTCCCCGTGGAGATCCGGACCCTCGCCACCCTTGAGGCTTTCCTTAAAGCAACGAAGACCTGGTTGTTCCGGCAGGCGTGGGGCTGATGAATTTCCAGCCCCACTTGAATCCTTATGACTGTTGTTGTTTTTACTCTGTCTGTCTTTTGTCCTATTTGTATTCCCCCCCTTCCTTTGGTTGTTAGCTGCCCCGAGTCCCTCCGGAGTGGGGCAGCATACAAATTAAATAAACACAAACACATACTTGGCCTCACCAGTTTCTTGGTCAAATTCCTCAGTCAGGATCAGCCACGGAAAGGCTGATAGTCGGGAAGCAGAAATCATTGCTTATCAGGATAGACCAATTTATTATTTAAACATTTAAAAAGAATAACCAAGCATCTACTGTATATGGCTAGCTTCCTGCATTTTGCAGTAGTTAGATCTGCATCTATATGACATTTTCATTTCTGTAATAATTGAGTCAGCCATATCAAGTCTCTGAAATTTCTTCTGTTATTGAATATGAGGGGTAAAAGAAACTAGACCAGTGATGGCTAACCTTTTTGTCCAAAAGTATGTGTGTTGTGCATGCAATAGTACACGTGCACTGTTTATTTATGCCCACGCCCATAAAGTAATGTGCGCACGACACACACACACACAGTGTGCATGTGCGTGTGACACCCCCCTCCTGCAGCCCTCTCCTGCATGTGCATGTGACACCCCCTCCTCCCCCACCCCCTCACGCATGCACAACGCAACCACCCTGCAGTCCGTTTTGGACCTAGCAAGCCTCCCTGAAGCCTCCTGGGACCAAAAATGGGGCACGGGGAGGTGCTCTGCACCCCCACCCCTGTGCATGTATGTTTCCCCCATGCACGGCAGAGACCCAAAAATCAGCTGATCTGTGGGAGGCGCAAGCATGTGCCCGGTGGAGCTGAGCTGGGGCGACAGCTCGCATGCCCAGAGAGCCCCATGTGCCACCTGTGGCACACATGCCATAGGTTCACCATCACGGTAGTAGACAGTTTATACCTATCATGTATCTGGTAAGTGTGATTGGCCATGTAGCTTGGACATTAGCTCTCATGCCTGGGATGATTGACCTCTATGAATCACTTTGCTGTCATCATCCAAATGGCACATAGGAATAATCTGAATGAATAAAATCTACTGGAGAGTCAAAATGCAAGCAATCCAGCTGTTCATCAGTCATAAGAATGTGATGGGGAAATGAATGGCAACCACGTTTATTTTGATGGAATCAGATGCATAGAAACCCTGTAGATATACAAGTGCCCTGATTTGCTGTAAGAAGCATCTGTGGTTGTTCACACCCAACAAGTGGATGTGTTTTTATATGTACGTATATTCAGCATTATCAATGGGTTATATCAATGTTTCTCAACCTTGGCAACTTGAAGATGTCTGGACTTCAACTCCCAGAATTCCCCTGCCAGCATTCGCCAGCGACATCTTCCAAGTTGCCAAGGTTGAGAAACACTGGGTTATATATACCTAATGGTTATATCCCATTATTATTTCACACAGCAATTTCAATTCTCTAAAGGGGCATAACAACCCCCAAATTAAAAAGTTTCATTACAATATGCTATGCTGATTGCCTTTTTTGATGGTTTCTGTGCTTCCCCCCCCCCCAGTGTGTTAAAATGGATTTGTCTTGTTTCTCCAGAATATAACAGCAAAATTAGACACCGTAATTAAACTTTCTTTATTGGTTCTTAGTCCATTTCAAGATTCAATTAAAATTGTTGATTTTTAAAAAATTATTATGTATCCTAAATGAACAGTATTTTCCACATATTCCTAATATTCATCATCCTGTGATCATTACTGAAGCCCCTGTATGCAAATCTATATTACTAGGCAGCTATTGGAAATGGAAGCTTTTCAGTGAAATACTGTCTTCAAAGGTTGAATCCATGTATCTGTTTTTAGTTCCAGGCAAATAATTTCTCCAGTTTTGTGTAATATACAGCAACGTTTTGTGTAATATACAGCAACCTTTCTTTAGGATATTATTTGTCTGTTTTTATTTTACTAAAATTATTTTGCCTTTTAAATTTTGAAAGACACTATAATGCATACTACAATTATAAAATGTGTCATTTAAATATTTTTTATTTCTCTGATTTGGGAACTTGTAAAATAGCTCAAAGAATTTCAATTCTTACATAGTATAAAATAAAGTTCATTTAATCTAAATCATGCCAATAGACTTACATAAAATTCTCCCCTGCAAATCATAAAAGATTTTTTAAAATATCAACATATTTCTCAAATATAGTTTATTAATGAGTTTTTCAAACCTTTTCAGTCTGTGAAATGAAACCTGCTTGTTAAAAAAATATATTCTGGGTTCCCTGATTAAATATGGTGCGGCTTCTGAATATCAGCTAACATTGTTCTTTCTTCTCTACCTTAGTGACAAGAAAGAAAGAAGAACGAAGGAAGGAAGGGAGGGAGGGAAGGAGGAAGATCTGCAAGGGACAAAAACGGAGACCCTCATAGAGAGATGTATTTTTCCCCATATTCTCACAGAACACTCTTATAGAGTCCTTAAAAATGACTATTCCTAACCAATATATGAAAAATCATACCTTCTAACCAGGGGTGGGATTCAAAGGTGATATCTACCAGTTCTGTAGAACTGGTAGCGAACATTTTGAGTAGTTCGGAAAATGAGTAAATACCACCTCTGACTGGCCCCGCCCCCATCTATTCTCTGCCTCCCCAGTCTCAGCTGATCGGGAGGAAATGGGGATTTTGCAGTAACCTTCCCATGCCACGCTCACCAAGCCATACCCACAGAACCAGTAGTAAAAAAAAAATTGAATCCTACCACTGGTGGGATTCACTTACTTTCCCTACTGGTTCGACTCCCTCTTCTCAGGGTAACCCCTGAGATAACCCCTGGAGTTGGATGGCTAATAAAAAGGATTCTTTTTTCTGGCATGTTTCTTTACATCTTAGTTTAATCTACAGTCCTGATATTTCCTGATTGTCTTCCACTGAAGTATTAAAGAGGTCTGACTCCAAGTACAGTAGCTTTTCAAAATCAGCCAGGATCTACTGAAGCTGAAACACTGAAACTCAACTTCTGAAGAGCGTTTGATAATGAAGAAGCATTAGCAGCTTCAGGTCTTCTAGGTATTGATACAGAAATCTGGAACATCCTGTTGGAGGTACTTTAGAGCCCACAATTACTCATGTCCAGGGTCCATTACCTACCGCAATAGAAAGGTCAACCAAAGACCAGCTGTTGACTTCATTTCATTGGAACAGATAACATTTATCCAAGCATCTTCACTGCTTTTCATCTAATTCAAAGACTAGGTTTCTATAGTGTGCTAAGTTAGACTAAGCCATGGGAATTTAGCCATTGTCTTAACATGCTATGTATGAACTAGGGCTAGGCCATCATTTGAGCCATAATATGGGTTTATTATATATAAAAACAGCAATTGGGTTTTGTTAGGATTTACCGTATAAAGTAGTCCTGAGGTACATTCATAACAATGCAAAAAGTGAGTAGGACAACTCTTCAACTAACTATGGTAGCACCAATGAATGAAGTCTCAGTGGAAGGCATGGCGACTGGAAAATGCAGCATTCCCAACGCCCTTCCTCCTTGAAATGGATCCATCCAGAATTCTCACTGCTTTGCACTGTTTTTCTTAGAAATTCTGCCTAGGAAGCTTCTCCCCATTGCAGTGGATGCCACTAATTCAGTCCAGAACTTCAAAAAGGCATCTCTTACCAGGAGATAAAATATGTGTGATGCTCAGAGAATAGAAATGAGTGCAATAGTTGAGCCTCATTTGCAGCCCTTCTTTGTACAGTGACTCCTCCCCCTGAGATGGAAAAAAAGGGTTGGAGAAAGCTGGGTGCAAGTGAGATGACAAACTCTGCAAACTGCAAATATGAAGCGACAAACATAAACAATAACCATTTTTACTAACCGCAAAAATAATTGCTCAGTATCCGAAAGACAACTATTAGGAAAATAGACATTTCTCACAGACATAAACTACAAAGTACAGAAACAGAACAAACTGGCTTTCAGGCAAAGCCTTAAAGACAAGAGTTACACTTTGGTGACAAGAAACACCAGGAACATTTGAATGTCTATGCTCCCAAAATACTCCTATAAGTGCTAGACTTAGGAATGGATCCATGAAGGCTCTCCTCTGTCCCTGTTGATTGGACTTGAGGAGAGCCTATGTTGGCTAGATCCAGCCCTTCCTTTGGTAGCTTGATGCTGCAAGATATTTCAAGGGACAGAGGGATGGGATTGGGATTCCAATAGCAGCTTGATCCTATTATAAGGTCAAATGGCTTTTTGGGGGGGTGAGCCCCACTTTACATCTGACAAAAGGTATAAATACAGGTGGAAAAAAGAGATCTAAGCTTTAAGGATAATAGTAGGGGCAATAAACCCTGGAAACCTGATTCATGGCTCATTGGACATGAAGTGTTCAAGGGGGGGAAGAAGTACCTAGCCATCTCTCAGAGAAATTGGCACATGCACATGAGATGGAAAGAGCAGGAGAAAAAGCTTGGGGGGAAAAACATTCCACAAACAGGAGAGGATATTGTCCAAAAGGGATAGACTGACTGGCCTAGCAACCATCCAAGATCCTATAGAGCAGTGTTTTTCAACCACTGTGCCGCGGCACACTAGTGTGCCGTGACATAGTGTAAGGTGTGCCGTGGGAAAAACACCCGCCTATATTGAATATAGGCACAGAGTTAAAAATTTTTAACATTTTCCAATGGTGGTGTGCCTCGTGATTTTTTTCATGAAAAAAGTGTGCCTTTGCACAAAAAAGGTTGAAAAACACTGCTATAGAGAACCCAGGATTCAGTAGATGACATGCCAAGATGACAAGGAGTTGGAATGTATTTAGTACCAGGAATTCTGGGATTCCTCACCTTGATCAGAACAGATCCCTGCTGTGCCTCCCTACTAAGTCTCTTTGTTCCATACAGTTCACAGGGTAGTCTCCTGCAATACATAAGTATGAGTTCCATCTACCCGGGAAAATCCTTCAGACGCTTCAACTTCTTCTGTATTGACTCCGGAAGGCAGTCCTTTTGACAGTCCGTTTGCCATACCATTGTTGATTTTCTCCGCTCCCGAAGAGGTTGGCTCTGAGCAACTAGCATCCTTTTAAAAAATAAGAAAGCAAAGGTCAATTATCCTCAGGGTTTCTGGAACACTGCTTTTTAACAAACTAGTATCATAACTTTCCCACTGCACCATTATACCCCACCCTCCAACACATACAAAACTATTTTAAAAATCCCTGGCACAGAGAAATTGCAGGAATTGATCAAATATGAAGAAACAAGGCTAAGGACTAAGTCAAGAGGTCACGGGATCCGAAAAGGGTTTGCTGGAAAGGAGGGGGCTCTGAGGAGATAGGAATTGCTGGAGGATTCAAGAGAAGAGTTTGCTGGGATGGGTGGAGGGAGGGAATGATCTAAATTTAATGAGTTAATTGGAGTTAGTTGGAATTTTATTGGTCTGAAAGTAAACTTTAAAGTTTGCATGCTAAGAGGAAATTAAAAAAGGTGTATTTGAATGTTTTAATTTTGGGTATGTTTTTAAAGAAAACAGTGTTTTAAAATGGATGAAAAAATTTTTTCTCTTTAAGGTTAAAGAATCTGAAAGAATACAGTGAATTTTGCTAATATAAGTGGTGATAATTTATAGAGTATTAAGGGCAAATAGAAATAGATATTATTTCAACAGCAAGGGAGATTAACGGAATTAACAGAACTAACAATAACAGAGTTGGAAGGGATCTTGGAGGTCATCTAGTCCAACGACCTGTCTGCTCAAGCAGACGACCTATATTAGGGATTTGAACTGCCAAACTGCCGACCTTTCTGATTGACAAGCTCAGCTCTCCTGAGTTCCGTTTTCACTGGCAGAGGGTTGCAGGAGGCCGTGGCAGTCGAAAATGGAACACGGGAGTCCGTTATCACTGGCAGAAGCACCGTGGGCCAGTCCTTCGCTGTTTCCAGAGTGGCCACGCAGACCAGATCTAAGTACCCCTCAGGCCAGATCTGGCACCCAGGCCTTGAGTTTGACACCCCTGTGCTAAAGCTTTTCTACAATGAGTGCTTTATTTAATCTTCAGTCCACTAACAGGGTCGTGTGGAAGAAAAACACCGCATTGTATTCAGAACTTCAAAGGAGATGACATCCCAGGCACATCACTTCTACAACCCACATTCTGATAAATTGATGCTTTGTAATTACTTTATTTCCTAGTAGGGAAAGCCAACTGACAGTCATTTTGTGGGAGCAGCCACAGCATGTTTTCAAAATTCCAAATGTATCCATCAATAACACCAAATGCCTAGTTCTAATGCCTGAGCCTAATTTTAATCAAGTCTCTGCTCAAGGCAACATCTGAAATTACAGAATCCCCATTAGTGGGCATCCAGCCTCTGCTTAAATACTTTCTCAATAAAGAAAAGCTCTCCCTTGCTTTGACTGCTAAATTATGCGTAAATCAGCAGTCACCAACTGATGGTCCGTGGACCACTGGTGGTCCGTGAGAAAATTTTGGTGGCCCGCAGAAAAATTATTTGCATTTTTTTATATGGCACTAAACCAGGGGCCCTAAAACTATGGTCCCTGGTCTGGATACATACAATGAACATTTGTGTTGCTGCAGGTAGTCTCCCACTTCGGGGTCTTTTTGTGCGGGTCAGAGGGGGGGAGAAATTTGGGCGACAGCTGGAGGCCAGTTGTTTTGCCAACTCTTTCACATGGTGGCTGCTTAGCTCCAACAACTGCTTCCTAATGGGGCCCTAAGGAGCCCAGACAGGCAGGGCGAGGAGTGGCTGGGAGGGGAGGGATGAGTAGAGGTTGGCAAGGTGCCCCTTGATGTGAGTGACATCAAGTTGGTCACACCCACATAGTCACATGACCACCTAGCCACACCCATCCAGCTGGTCATTAGGCAGATAGTATTAGTAGTCAGCAGGATTGAAAATTATAAATTTAGTGGTCCCTGAGGTACGAAAGGTTGCTGACCCCCGACTTAAGTGATAGGATGTTTCTCTTAATGTGGAACTAAGATTTGCTCCTCCATAATGGCCACTGTTCCTTGTCTTCTGGGTTAACAAACTTAAATCTCACCTCCGCAGGGTCACGTACTCCACAACGGAGCATTTCATGGTACTTTGCAGGCAAACAGCAAAATAATCGTGGCAGCACTAGAAAAATTGTTTTGGGATTTACATCCTTCCCACGTGTTGGGCCTGTGAGAGAAAGAAGATGGCGTGAGCAAGGGAAGTGAAGGAAAGCAGAGACTTTGTACGGCAGATCTCTCCTGTGCCTACTGAGTCCAGGAGTAGCATTAACAAGGTTATCAGGAATGGAGAGCAGCTCTCTGCAGAACTTAGAGTTACATTTCCTACCAAGGAAAACATAGAACCCTAACATTCCTAGGTAAGGACTAAACAGAATGCTATCCCAAGGCAATCCAACATTGTAAGACAAGATCTAGGCAACCTAGTTTCCCTTGATGTTTTGGATTTCTATTCCTGTCAGGTTCAGTGACATGACCAATGATAAGAATTTATGGCAGTTGTAGACCAGCTGGGTGGAAGACACTAGCTTCCCTATAACAAGGTGTACTGACTGGAAGACCAAACCCTTCTTCCTTGCTTTTTAAGCCATCTCTTACTGCACTGCAAACATTCAACTCTAATCTTTACCAATATCAAAACCTGATTTTATTCATTTTATTTATTCATGACATTTGCATCCTTTATTTTCATAAACAGCTGTGGCAGTTTATACATGGAACTAAAAGGAGATACTTCCTCACTCTTTTCAAGTTCTCCACTCTGCAGATGTAATGATACTGTGTAAAACGATGGTAAGCTATGTTTGAATATCCAAGATCAATTTCCCAGCAAGACCTATTATTGATGGCCTCTCCATGCAAAATGCATGTATATACACCGTATATACATAGCCGTATAATCATATATACTTGGGGCTTGCTTATGTTCTGGATGATAGTTCTAGATCCTATGTATTTAAACATGTTACGTACCAGTGAGAAGACTGACTAGCAGTCCTACCACAATAACTGTGGTAGAGTTGTGTGCGCTGTACCACATGTAGGATAAATTATAAAACTTCCGCAATCCTGTCAGCCTAGAAAGAATTCAAAGAGATACATGTCAAGAGCTATTCCATTCAAACATTTTCTCAGGCTAAGTGGTGGAACAAAGCCAGAATCCCAAAGAGGCAGTTCCACAAGCTTCTTTTAGGTTACACAGCAATCACTGCATCCCCTCAGTTCCATTGCAGCCCCCCCCCCCCCCGGTTTTCTATCCCTCAAGAATTAATGTCCCAAAACAAAACATTTGAGCAGCAATTAGCTCAAAGAAGGCAGGTTGATTTCGAAATGCAGCAGGGGAGCAGATTTAACAAAAAATGAGAAAGAAGCTCAAAAAGAACACATCTATCAGTGGCTGTTAGCTAAAGTGATAGATGCAGTCTCCAAGTTGAGAAATGTTTTGAAACCAGATATTGCAGAGCAAATAAACGAGAGAGCAGTGGTCCATCTTATCCTTGAACTTTTCTCAGTTGGCTATTGTGAAAAAAAAGATGTTGGCTTAGATGACTCTTTAATCTGGTCCAACTGCAACTTTTAATAACATGTTCCAATTCTTACAATAAGCTTATAAAATTGCCATTGATAACATTTATATATTACAAGAAAAGCAGTCAAAGGCTTTCTTTCCTCCATAAAGTTTGATCGATGCAATTGTCTTCCAGATCTCCACATTTGATCCCGGCCTCTAGAGCCTGAGGATAAGTGGATAGTAATTATAAAAGAGATGTTTGTAATTCATGATACTTTCACTTATACAAATCCCCCCCTAAAGAACTTTTCATTATTCTGTTCTGCTATTCTGTTAAATGCAATTCCATGTTGATAATTTATTATCTTGGTTCTATGCTATCTATAAAGCTTTATAGCTAAGAAGGGTTTGAAACCAGGAACTACATTGCTCACAAGGCTCTCTCTCTCTAAGCTACATATCAGTGTTTAATTATTGTTCATAAGTGGACAGTGTAACAGTTATAAAATAATAATAATAATCATCATCATCATCATCCAATATAAACA